AGCCATTTTGATTCTCACATAAGGTCTCCAATGTAAGAGTTAAAATAAGGGAGACACACCAGCTGGTCCCACATCTCATGGTGAAGGTTCAGAGCAGATGAGATATTTGATCCCAAGTTTCAAAGGAGCATTTTGACAGTTTTATTAGATAGGTTTCATACATAGATGGTAAGCTCTTCAAGCAGAGCAGGCTTTGCCCATTGCACAGAAGTGAAACTAAATCCACTTGGTTCCTGAATCATTTACAATGAGACCAGTGTTTATTTCCCTCAGATATATGCAGAGGTAGGCTGTTACGGGTTCGCCCGGGTTCGGGAGAACCCGTAACTAAAGTTATGGCCGGTTCAGAGAATCTCTAACTCACTGAATATATCTGATGCCATGCGATGCCTCTCTGTTTTGTTAATGAGGTTTAACGTAACATGAACGCCCACTTCCTTCTCCTCTTTAACAATAGGGTATTTTCCCCTCAAGGGTGTGTATGCCATCTATATCCTGAGTAGCTTTGATTTCCTGTTAGAGCGAACGTGAATTTGAAATGTGCTTACAAAGATGTGTCACCGAATTCCACCTGAAAGCATGTAAGTGACAACTAGGGAAATTTGGAAAGTACAGGGGCAGCTTTGATACTGTCATCACCAGTTCATGGGTCAGATCTGCATCTTCTATTACAACTATCAATCAAAACAGCTCCCTGACTCACCCCCAACTGACACCAGTTGTCAAATGCAGAGCCATGTGCTGCATCCATTGCAATGATACAACTTCATTAATTCCATGCTAAAATGATAACAGTGAGGAGTCCTCGGTGCTTCCTGACCTTGGCTGGTTTCTTGCAGACATTTCATTAACCAAACTAGGCAACATCATCAGTGTTAGTAACATTGTTACATCAGTGACAAATGATGCTACCTAGTTTGGGTAATGAAACATCTGCAAGAAAACAACCCAACCAAAGACCCCTTATTTCAAACCTCAGCTACAAATATGCTCCTTTATTGATGATAATAGTCTCCAATACAATTTGGAAAACAAAATCCTGCTGCTGAAAGTGAAGTGGGAGATGGGGGAAACCTCCTTCCTTCCTCTCTGCACACCCAGACAAAGAAATACATTACTCTGAAAGGGATGGGGGGGCGATGTTTATTCATTGATGTTTGTAGAAACATAAACTAGATGGAATAAGTGCATGTTATGGAACATATTGTGCAAATATGCTAAAGATGGATTGTTGAATGCAGTTATAGCAGTATTCTGTATGATGGAAGTTAGGCATGTATGAAAATAAATAGAATGCTGAGCAAATTGGTTCAGCACTGCATAGAAAAAAGACAAGGAGATGCAATGTGCCCATTGTTGTTTCAGGTGTTCATGGATAAATGTATATAGTGATGTACCAGAGAGCACCAGAAAGGCTTCTGGTGATGTCAGAAGTAAATTTGTTGGAGAAATGAATGCACATATACTTTTACATGCAGATTATTTGTTTTGGCTAATCTAAATTATTTGCAGTTAAATGTTAAAAATTGTTAGAAATTTAAATGTTAATTTAAATTATTTGCTGTAAACGTTAGAAAGTTTGAATGATGCTACAAGGAATATGTGTTTGAAAATGGATGTATCACTATCAAGGACCAAAATGATGTTAACACATTGCTAGTTTGCATGATTGATTCTGCAGTGGTTTGGAGAATATTATTATGGCATGCTATTTTTTTAATTGATGCTTTTTTATTAGCTGTCTTACTTTTGAAAATCCATCAAAGAAATAAACAGAATTGATATGGTCCAGGGAATTTTATAGTCCCCCTCTGATTTGTATATAAGAAACCTATAAAAACACATACTTAGAGTCATTTTCCTTTACCTGAGAGCTTTGCCAAAATTTAATTTTGTTAATCATTGCAATGAAAAGAAAAGGGAAAGACTGAATAATTGAACAAGATGGACATTCCATAATGGTCAGAGCTCGAAACCACTATATTTTAACTTAGCAGGGGAATCTATCAGTTAGAGGCCATGGTAAGTTAGAACATCAAACTATTATTGTGGCCTAAGCAGAGGAATACATTCAAATACAAAATGGATTTATAAAGCCAGTTTCATTCCAGCTAATTTATAGATGGATATTTAAGTAGCTTAAGGCTGCAATATAAAAGCCTTACGTAAAAAAGAAACATTTAAAAGGAAGATGTCTAGGTATCCATTTCATTGTCTATGTCTCATCTAGAAACCAAAAAGGCATCTTCTAGCAGCTCTAAAAATACTGTTCTCATACAAAATTCATGTTAACTATGAGAAACATGTTGTTATGAAACGGGTATTAACACAGCAACCTGTCATAAAGACAGGCTTTGATTTGCAATGATGAATCAGAGGAGAAGCAGGAAAAAAAATAGAAGCAGGAGCCTTGTCAGAGATGGGTCCCTTGTCTCTCAGCCCACAGCTCAAATGGCAGAGGCAAAGTGTTCTAGATCCTAGACGTACCCTCTCAATAGTATATAACATAAAAGTTAATAAAGACTTTATTATCTTGTCTCAGGATGTCTCTAAATGTTTCCTTGTATATGGATTGGGATGTGAGTGGAAAATAATGACTGTTCTGTTCTGCATGTAAGATAATTCATGGCTTGATCAATTTCCTGCTTTATAGCAAAACGAATTAGGTCCAGAGGTGGGTTGCTGCCAGTTCGGCCCAGATTGGGTGAACTGGTAGTAGCAGCGGTGGGAGGCTCCACCCACCGACCTGGACGCTTCTGCACATGTGTAGAAGCATTGCGCACGTGCACGAGCATACGTGGGAACGCACCCGAACTGGTAGTAAAAAAATTACCAACCCACCTCTGATTAAGTCCCTCTATCAAAAATAATCATGGGTTTATTTGTTGAATTTATCTAGCTGCCCACCTCAACCTTACAATACTGAGTAGGTCACAGAAGACATAAAAACAAAAAGTAATGAAATGACAGTACAACAAAAGTGAGGCCCCTAAAAGCTATATAACTATATTCAAATCAACCCGTTTTAATTTGGGAAGAGAAAGGAAGGGAAGGGAAGGGAAAGGAAAGGAAGGACTAGTGTTTCTCAACCATGGCAGCTTGAAGACGTAGCTTGGACTTCAATTCCCAGAATTCTCCAGAACCCTTAATTCTGGGAGTTGAAGTTCACCTATGTTTAGGCTGAGAAGCTTGGGAAACACTGAAGTAGACTGCATTTCTGTGGGTAAGCAACAGGAAAGTAGTAATGCTCAACGTGGACAAAATGTATGCCTTTTCTGCTTACAATAAAAGCACATGAAACTATGTTTATCACTAGGATTTCCTAACTGGCCTGAAAGGCTTCTAACTGGCTTATCGAATGTACATAAAAAAACACAATGCAAGTCAATATCATAATCAATCAAAACAGCAATTCAATTAATTCTCAATTTAAATAAATTCTGAATTTATTGAACATGGCACTGCTGGTTATAATAAATCCTTGAAGGCACTTCTGGAAGAGTCATTCTTTCAGACTAATTTTATTGATCATGGGAAGACAGAAAGTAAACTTCACTGTACTAATCTATCTCTGATTTAGTTACATAGAAAAGGTATTTTTGTATTCTCTTCAATTCTGGTATTCAAATCAAATTCCTGACCTCAAACTTTTCAATTCTAGATTTTTTGATAGTGCTCAGGTTTCTGTTAAAACAGGAAGTAGAGGAGGAGGAGGAGGAGGAGGAGGAGGAGGAGGAGGAAAGATCCCCTGATCATCATGTTGTGTTTTTTTTTAATCACTGTGGAGTGGAAGGTAAGAAGAAAAATATTGGAAGCCCAATTTTGGATATATCAAAGATTTTCATGATAATAGGAGCTGACGTCGCAATGATACAACGTGCAATCTTGGAGCTCCGATATCGCAGTCGATACCCTTGCCACTGGACGGTCCTTTTGGACCTAAACCGTCCCAAAGAGATGGTGACAGGGAAGAGTACATCTTGTTGATCTCAGGGACATCACAAAGTCCCTGATTGATTCAAGAGAACCTCTTCTTGCGGGCGACAGAAGTGCAGCCAAAAGCTGCTGAAGTTGGGACAGCTCCGCAACAGGAGGAAAGCAGAAAGAGAAAGTGTGTCCATCTGGTGAGGAAATGTTACTGTTATAAAAGAGATTGCCCCAAAAAAATCAAAGCTAAATTAAACTTGCAAAGAAAAGAAAAATAAGCGGCGAAACTAAGCTATATTGGACAGCGTGTTATCCTTTTTTTTTATGGATGGAAGTTTTGCAAATATTCCCTACTTTTTAAAGTGAAAGTATTGGTTTTTCTTCTATTTCTTTTTTTACCTATGGATTAAATCTTTTTTTAATTTTTTTTTTTTATAATATTGGTTTGGAGGGGCTTTTTCTTTTTCTTTTGCTCCATTTAAGAATTTTGTTTCTTTTAAGCCTGGATTATAAAGAAGATATAACAGGAATATAAAAAGGGTAATAACATTAGAGGGAAAAGAAGTTACCCTGCCACTTGGAGGTTGGAGACTGAGTCCTGGGAATATTGCTTTCTCTTTTTTCTCTTTGATCATTTTGACTTTGCACTTCAAAGGCTTTAGCTTGTTTACAGAAGAGATAAGGAGNAGGTAGTTCCGCGACAGGCTACAGTTCATTTAGTGACTGTTCAAAGTTATAACGGCGCCGAAAAAAGGGACTTACGACTGTTGTGGCATCCTAATGGTCATGTGATCAAAATGAGGATGCTGACTCGTATTTATGCAATGCCCCAAGATCATTTGCAAACATTCTGACAACCCAAGTCATTGGGGAAGCCGAATTCACTTAGCAACGATGACCTTAGCTTAACAACTGCAATAATTCACTTAACAAACCTTTTACTTAGCCACAGGAATGTCGGGCTCAATTGGGTTCGTAAGTAGATGGGAGTCCCCGCACTCTAATGTACTACATAATGAGCTACGTTGTGCTAAGCAGAATGGGAGGTCTGCGTGTTGGAGACAGGAAAGACTTTACCTGTAGATGGAAGACGCTGGGCAGCGAAGGTGAGCAGTGGCTTTCAGTTGGGGGTGGTAGTTGGTGAAGACCAGGAATGGCACCCAGTGGGGCTCCTCTTGGCCAGCCAAGTATGATGTCACACAGCGCACTTGGCAGGTTTCTATTCTCAGCTCTGGTCCCCGTTGCGGCAACGTCGGATACTTCTGCCTAGCCATCCCACAAGGCATGGGCATTTCCCCCTCAGAGTCCATCGTAGTCAGCTGGGCATAACAAAACCCCACTTGCTTCCGTTCCCCGGGATGGCCACAGCGATTGCAAGACTGCCAAGGACTCCAGGAGGTGAACAGGGTGGCCTGTGCCCCCTGGTCGAGCGGCACCGTAACGTTGCCCAAGCTGGCCTCTCCCAGCTCTGCGTGTGACACGTGGAGACGCTCGGCATCCTGAAAGTCAACCTCGTAATAGGCAAGGGTGGCGTCTCCTGCACGACAGGTGTACAACCCTGAGTCTTCTCGGCTGGGGCTTGAGATGTACAGGCTGCCGGTGCCGGCAATCAGTCGGGATTTGAAACGTAGCCTCTGCAGCTTGTCATGGCTAAACAGGGGCCAGGAAGTCCCGCCTGAGCGTAAGAAGGTGAGGGGCTGCTCATCGGTCCAAGAGGGGTCGAGGTATTGCCAAGTGATGTGGCCTCTGTATGAAGAGCGGGGACAGCGTAGGACGACAGGGTTATTGGAGATAAATGCTAACACGCAAGGCTGGCCAGGGAGACACGGCTGGCCCAGCCAGTGGCCTTCATAATGGTTACCTTCAGCGATGGATAAGAGGAGACCCAGGAGGAAAGCCAACAAGGGTGCCCAACTGGACATGGCAAGCTGGGTACTGAGCTATTAAGGAAACCCAGGGAAGGAAAAAAAAAACCCAGCTGTGACACCACGCCTGATGTCACAATAGGCAGAACAATACTGCTGTTAAAACTGGCCTTGTTCTGGAAGACTGGATACCCACCCAGATACAATATCGATTTAACATCCTGGATATGTGTGTGGGGGTGTGTGCGCGTGCGCATGTGCGCGTGCATCTGTCTCTGTGTGTGTGATGTATGTGTGATGTATGTGTATGTATATAT